AGAAAGATGGAAGAGCAATTAGCAGAAGATTGTAGTACAAAGATTAAATTTAGATCGGTTTAAGAAAAGACAGTCCTGTGGATGGGAAGAAAAACAAGGCAAGGAACTGCAGGATTATCTTGGCCTCTATCCAGTGACCTAGGCTAGACCTATGGAGTCACCAGGGAGCCTGAAGCCTGTTTCCCACAAGATCATCAGGCACAATGCTGGATTTAGTGCTTGCTTAATTTCCAAGTTAGGTCAACGATAAAGCAGCTGCTAAAGGGGACGCCTGAAAGAGAATACAACCACTTGAAAGTAAAGCCAAGTCTTAAATTATCTGCGCTGTGACCTATCCTTGGGAGAACTGCACTTGAAGTAACACAACCAGAGAAAACATGGCAAGAGAAGCATGAAGCTGTGCATGCTGCTTGTCAGTATAGCTCTGCAGCTGCAATATCCTGCTGTAGTTGACTCTTCACATGATAGCAACTCAAGATAAGGGCTCTACTTACATTAATTCAAACATACATCTTGTCTTGAAATCTACTCTGCAGTAAAAATAAGCCTTAAGTCACTTAAGGAAAAATTACTGAAAAAACCCTACTTTGAAAATACACAGCAAATGGAGAGAACAAAAGGACTAATAATGTGCCAGCTCCTGCACTAAGAACACCACTTGCAGTTAATACATTCAGACAAAGTGTTCTTGAGTTTGAGAATAAAAACAAAACAGTAAAAGCAGCTTATTTGTTCGAAGGAAATGCACAGCAACCCTTGTGACAACTCAGCTGTCCATTAACTGCAAATATGTAAACACCTTTGCAGCTAGTTCTACACTAAGTGCTTTGAGAATGCTCTGGGGAGAAGAGTCAGAAGAGGCCACAGAAGCACTCAGGCATGACAATTTGCTTCCAGGACTATGCCAGGTTAACTTGGATTTTATGTTTAGCCTGGAAACAAAGCTATGTACATTTAACCTTCTGAATACTAGTCTAGTTCGTTCTGTTGCTAAAAATCGGCATAACTATTTTCTCAGCCACACAACCTTTCTGAGTTTTGGAAGAGGAAAGGGACAGGCAGAGCCTGCACTTTTCACCGGGATATTAGACAATACTGCATCAGGCAGTGATGCAATATATAGTGTAACAATTAGGTGATTACCAATTACCCGCTTCCACCTTATCTGTTAAGGAAACTTCCCTGTCCGACCATCCAGGAGCCACTCCGGCAATCACTCTCATACCACCTGAGCTGGGACCGAAGTCCCTTCACAGCTACACACACCACACTCACAGTCAGACCAGGTTTCCTTACCGGCTCGACCCCAGGTTTCCCCAAACGAGAGTCTCAGAAGTCCAGATCCTTAAAATAATTTAATCGTGGTGCAATTATTAAATAACAAAATAACAGCTCGAGCTGGTGCCTCCGAGGAGGGACCCCTAAAACAGGAACCCCTGGGGTTTTATATCCTCACAATCTAAGTGGGAGAAGGCTGGGGGCCGTCCGCTCCCGCCGTGTCTCCGAGTGTCCGGTCACCTGGACGGGCCACTGGTCTCCGGGCCCTTTGTCATGCAAAGGGTCGCCAGGTCACAGCCTCTTGCCTCGGGCTCCCGCTCCCCAGAGCACAACCTGCAGCTCCACTGAAGCTGCACACCGAGCTACCGGCACAGAATGTATTCCATTACCTTTCGGGCAGCCTAGGAAAACACCTGTAACTCCGGTGTGGCCGCTCTGCCCCCAGCTCGGCGGCCGCCCCTCGCCCCCGCCCGGCCCCGCTCACCTGCACGACCCACAGCAGGCCGGCGGCCGCCGCGCCGGGGGCGGGATGCGGGGCCCAGCGGCGGCGCTGCCCCGCGGCCGGCGGCGCCCCCGACGGCCCGTACCAGTCCAGCAGCAGCGCCACGGCGGCTGCCGCCAGTAGCCCCGCCGCCAGCCCCAGCATCCTGTGCCGCGCCGCCACGGTGCCCGCCCCTGGAGAGCGCTCCTGTCTCCCGCCCTCCTGCCGGGCAGCACCGCCGGCTGCGGCACTTCCGCGTCCCACCCCCCGGCTGCCGGGCCGCCCCGCGCTCGGCCGCGGCTGGTTCGGAGGACCGGTGCCAGCGGGGCCGCGGGTCGGCGCTTTCCTTCTCTCGGCCGTTTTATCCGGCGAGGTCGGGGGATTCCGGCTCTGCCCGCGCTCCCTCCGTCCTGAGCGTGCCCGCTTTTACCCCTCCCAGGCGCAGCGGTGCCTGGAAACGCCTAGGTTAAAACAAAACAAAACAAAACCCAGTCGTACGAAGAGATCAGGGTCTCATCCTGCTACCTTCCGAGTACAGCATGTAAACTTTCGCTTTTTTTCCCTGACGATATTTATAATTCTACCTGCTCTGATATCTAGGCAACTGACCTTTTCTGGTCCCGACATACTTAAAGAGTTTTTTTATGGTATTTTGAACATTTCTTTTTCATATACACCATTTTAAACCTTGCTATAGCAACTGCACAGATTCATAATTGCTACGTTATTCTTTGCTATTAACTCTTTGTTTCCTAACTAGTGCCCACATTTACTGTTGAGATTTTTTTCTTACCATCTTAAGCATGAGTTTAGCTGAAAAAGCTTCTGTCACTTTCTTTGATATTTAATGTAGTATTCTTAAACAACTTTTCAGATATCAGAAGTTTCTGATTCAATATTGTGTAATTTTCATTATATTTTCTTATGATTTGCCATAGGATAAAGATTTAATTTTTTGCATTTTTGCATTTTAACTTTTCAGGTCAGTTAAACTTTATTAATATAATACACCCCTTTTCAGATGTTCTTGATAATTTAGCCTCTCTTTTGTAGGACTTCATGTATGTTTGTTTGCTTTGACTGTTTTCGGCTGCCTTCCATCTTGATTGTCTGCTCCCTCTTGCCCCCAAAGAACACCCTGAACAACTGCTTCTAAATCAACAGTTAGCAATCAGTAATCCTGGTAATCTTCAGGAGTAATCTTGACAACTGGGGTTTTCTCCCTTTCTTCCTGGAGGTCTACCATTTTATTTTGTGTCTAGCAGGGCTGCCAAACTACAGCATTTTGTCTCTATTAAAATTGATCTGAATCCCCGTTTTGTTCTTCTTTCCTCTATTACTGTAGTATCCATGGAGATCTTGGTGTTTTGTGCCATTTCTGCCTGGGCAGTGGTGCCAACTTGCTTTTTCAGAGATTCGTTGCCACTTTCTTTGCTGTCTCCCAGCATGTGGGTTCCAAGTCTTTGTGTTATTTTATTAAATAAGTCTAACAATAAGTCTTGTTCAACTAAAGCAGTTGATTTGCATCAGCATAAATTCTAAAAGTCACCACAGTATAGTGAAACCACACTGATAGTTCAGCTACAAGACATGGCCATGCAAGCTGCTTGTCTCACAGCACAGGGGGCTGCAGGCAGCCCTTCTGCACTTGACTGAGTTTGTTGCTTTCTTGGAATTCTGCCTTGCTTCTCTTGCTCAACTGTGTTGGAAGGTGGATTATACAATTGCTAGTGTTGATGCTAAAACAGGTGGAGGACTCCAGTAATCACAGTCTACACTTGGCTGTTGTGCAAACACATCTGATTAGTGGTGGGCCGTGCTGTTAAAAAGGATTGGTTATAGATCAGCAACATGGATAGACAAAATGAGATGAAGCTTTGAATTAATGGTTAAGTGGCTCAATGGCAAAATTCACTTTGTCTTTTTTACATCTCATGCCTAATCCTGTCTCAGTGATAATATCTACACAGTGATTTTAAGTGACAGATTTCAATAATGTAAAGAAGTCTACAGGACTTCTTAAAATGAAGATGAGCGGTAGCTATGACAGAAAAGCTACATTCAGATGTTTCGAAGATATAAGAGAAGAGTACTTGATGCCAGATGCAGTGAGAAAAATCATTGAATATACTGAAAAAGTCACCTGTAAACTTTATCCCATCTGTACTGACAACTGAAGAACATGGAAAAGCTGCTTGGAGGATTGAAACAGGAAGACTACAATGGAAGGAGGCAGTCTTCCTGATAGAGATATCAGGCATTTGATAGGTGGATATGTATGCCCCCAAGGTCCAGTGCTATGGCTGTTTGCCTATTTGCTCAGCCTTAAGAAGGTACAAACACAGGGAACTGTGCAATTAGACTGCAACAATCTGGAAAACTTCCAGCAGTGCTTAGGTCAGTCTGTCATATATCAATCGAGTTCCTGAATGCCTTAATTTTCTGCAAAAGTAGCAAATGTGAAGTACCCAGAACAGTTATGATATGCTGTAGGAGGAGGTGTGGAGGAAGATTTTAATCTTGGAGACAGGCCTTTGTTTAAAGCTACTGTTGCATCCTATACTTGTACCTAGTTTGTAAAATTTTGCCTTTGCTTAGCCCATACGGGAGACAGATGGGAGCCAAGTCTGCAGAAGTGGTGAGACTCCACACCTGTGTATATGAAATTACTTATGCTATTATCTTGCTAGCCAGGCGGGGGTCGGCCTCTTCTCCCAGGCAACTAACGATAGGACGAGAGGACATAAGCTCTGCCAGGGGAGGTTTAGGTTGGATATTAGTTAGAATTTCTTCATAGAGAGGGTGATTAGACATTGGAATGCCCAGAGGTGGTGGAGTCACTGTCCCTGGTGGTCTTTTAGGAAAGACTGGATGTGGCATTTGCGGCCGTGGTCTAATTGACATGGTAGTGCTCGGTCATAGGTTGGACTTGATTATCTTAGAGGTCTTTTCCAATCTAATCGATTCTCTGAATCTGTAATGGCAGGGTGCAAAGTGAACACCCACGCGGTGCAGTTTTAAGTGCCCGCAGAGGAGCTCCATCCATGTAACTCTGCACGCAAGAACAACACGAGCTTCGGCGACGACCGTCCCAACGGATCCCGGGGACGCGCTGTGCCGCAGCGGGCAGCGGGAGGCAGGAGGCGCTGCCGGAACGCCGCGACGGCTGCGCGCGGGGCGGGCCCTGGGCTGCGGGCGCAGCGCCCGGTGACGGCGGCGGCTCCTTCCGGGCCGTGACGGCGCCGCCGGCCGCGTCCCTCGCTCTCAAAATGGCGGACGGAGCCGACAGAGGTCCCGGAGCAGGAGCGACGGGCGGCCGGGCCCCCGCGCAGGCCCCAGAGCGAGCTATGGTGAGGCTGCAGCCGGGCGCGGCGCCGCGGTTCCCCCTGCCTGCGCTCGGGGGCAGCCTGTGCCCTGCCCGCGCTGCCGCCCCGGCGCTCGGGCGAGCAGGGCTGGCTCTCCGGAGCTGCCGAGCGGCTCCGCCGAGGGTCGGGACGCGCCCCTGTGCTCTCGCCGTAGCCAGCGGGCGGCGGCACCGGCCGGGGCGGTGGGGCCGGAGCGGGCGGCCCGCTGCCCCCCGGTCTCGCCGCCGGCTTCTAGGGGCCGCACTCGGTCCCTGGGCCTCCGCTGGCTGCGGCTCTGGCGGCCGCCGGGTCTGCCCTGGGAGAGCAGAGCCAGCCCTGCCTCGGGCCCGGACAGCCACTGTCAGGCGGCCCAGAGGGAAGCAGCATCTCACACCCCCCGTGTCTTACTTGACCTCTACGTAATTAAGTGAGACCAAACTTTAGAAACGTTCAGAAACTCTCCTGCGTTCTTAAAGCTTTGTGGTGTATATGTGCATCTTTTGTCCTGGTCCTGCCTTTACCTTTCTTAATTAAAGGTGACTTTACTATGGAACAAAAAAGACCAAATAAGAAATTACTGTTTTGCAGAATGTGAACGGAGCAGCAAATAGTATTGTTTAGAAAGGATGTAGATGAAGACAGTTGTTTATTTGCTGAACAGAAATACCCTCTTTTTTTTTTTCCTCTGTTAATTATTTTGTTCATCTATGAATTTAATATTCCATTATTGAATGGAATTTGATGTTGACCCTGTCTAGTGACATGCCTTCTGTGCTTTCCTTCACAACCTTGTATAATGATTACTATATTCAAAACACTTTTGATAGAGGAGTTTAAAACTGAAGGCTATGAATTTAAGAAAGAAAGTCAGATG